GTAGACAGCTCGCAGCTTATTCCGGAAAAGCGGCTGATTTTCCGGAATAAGTGACCCAGTGTAGAGACAGCCCTGGACGTGGAAAACTCAGCTTTTGGCTCAACTGTGTTGCCAAGGCACATATAGCCCTTTATTTGTGTCAAGCCATAGTGTATATCTTGTCCTATACATCTTGTTTAAATAAATTACAAAAAGGACAGGAATTCCAATTACACGTTAGAACGGGAATGCAGTTGGGAGAAATTCTTTTTGTGACTCCAGCTCTAGAACCGTGTATCTACAGTTCTACTGTGCTGCCACCAGGTGGTGAACTGTGATCATAAATTAATCCCAACCCTCATCCCAGCATCAATGTGGCTTTTCAAAATGGGGTCTGATGTCATACTCCCATCTCTTCTTGAACAGCCTGAGCTACCTCCCCCATCAGAGCAGACCTTCCTTGCTGCTGCTGAGAGTGATGTGGGGCAAGGGGCTAGAGAGAAGGATGCTCTGTTGCAACGCTCACCCAGCATGCCAATCCCAAGCATGAAGGCATCCATCCCATAAGGCATCACTCGGGACCGCCCTCTCGCAGAGCCAGTGGGGGACATCACTTCCTTTGGCTGAGCTTTTTTACATTCCACCTGCCAGAAAAGAGAAAGTATTGGGCCGCAGCCTGGACTTGCACAACTCAGAGCACATACAGTCCTGCAGGCCAGAAGGATAGCCTTATTGCATTAAAATGCTGCGCGTGCTCTGTCCCATACACCATTCCCAACCCTTACTCGCACCCTAAAACCACTAACCCTGCCCATAGCCTCCCCTGCACTGTTAGGGTATGTCTACACTGCCTCCTTGCAGGAGAAATAACGGTAGTTCGAATTAGGAGCTTTAATTCAAACTACCTAGTCCGTGCCGTGTGTAGCTGCGGGCAGGTAGTTCGAACTACGGGGCATTTAAAAATGGCGGTGCCCGGGAACATGCAAATGAAGCCCGGGATATTTAAATCCCGGGCTTTATTTGCAAGTTTGATTGCCTACATTAGCCACCCTAGTTCTAACTAGGGTGGCAGTGTAGACATACCCTTACTCTGCTAGAGAAGCAGCATGGTGGAGTAATTAAAACAGGAGACAGGTTCTGTCCTTGCCTTTCTCTGTGACTTTTGGCAAGCACAGCCTCAGTGTCCTCATTTGTTAAATGAAGATACCTGTCTCGCAGGGTTGGAGAGAGGTTTAGCAAAAACTTGCACAGCACTCAGGGGTCACAAAGTTACAATTTCCAGTTATGGTTCAACTACACTTCCTTTTGAGCTCCAAATACCAGCAGTGGCTCTCCTCCTTTTTGAACTTCTCCTCCCTAAATCTGTGGCAGTGATTTCAGGGGTCCCATCTGCCTCCTAACTGTCCTAGTACTTCTCCCCATCCCTCCATTGCTGGCTTTGCTCTCCACAGAATTGCACAATTGGAAGGGACCTCAAGAAGTCATCAAATCCAGTCCCCTGCACTCACAGCAAGACCAAGCACTGTCTAGATCAAGGGCGAGCAATAATGTTTAAAGGGGAGCCAGAAATTTATGAAGTCAAGTGGCAGGGGGCGACGCTGCCTCAGGCAGAAGGGGTGGGGCAAGGACACTTCCTGTGCTCCCCTGCCCACAGACCCTGATTGGCCTGGGGATGGGGGAGCACGTGAAGTCTTTGCCCCCTCCCCCACCCTGCAAGGGGCATGCGATGCCTAGAGTGAACCGCCAGCTGTTTTGAACAGCTGGTGGTTCACTCTAGGCGCCGTGCATCCCTGGCGGCAGGAGGAGACTTTGCATGCTCCCCCCACCCCCAGGCCAATCAGGGCCTGGGGGCGTGGGAGCACATGAAGTCTCTTGCCCCTGGTGCCCGCCCTGCAATGGTTGCGCAATGCCTCATTGGCCTGGGGAGCAACAGGGTGGCTGTGGGCTGGATTTGGCCCATGGAGGCTCTCTTGCCCACCCCTGATCTAGATCATCCCTGACAATGATGAAGATTCTGCAATCTCCCTAAGCAATTTATTCCAGTGTTTGACCACCCTGACAGTTAGGAACTTTTTCCTAATGTCCAACCTAAACCTCCCTTGCTGCAGTTTAAGCCCATTGCACACTCACCATTTTGTTATTGATCTCATGGAAGTGGATTTCACACACCTTCTCCACAATATCTTCACTCTCAAATGTGATGAATCCAAACCCTAAAGAAAAGGGGAACACTTCCTGTTCAGGGCATAATTCTGTGTGATCAGTGCCTGCCACCTGCCTGTCCCACATGACCAGAACAGGAGAAGGCAATCTAGAGGTTACTGGGGTGGGACAGTAGGGTCTTGGCAATATTTCCACTTCTCTGGCTCCAGCAATTCCTGCACACATGCAGCAGTCATATAAGCAGCAGGGAAATCACTGTCCTCTCCCAGATTTCCCGCTCCCCCCAGCTCTATTTTGTTGCCTCCCAACTTCATTAAAGCCCACACCACTTGTTGCTGATGGATTTATTCTACTAAGCTTTGCTATTTTTCCAAGATAAACTAAATGGCTTAATGATGAATACTACAATAGTGAGTTCCAAACTAGGTTCAATCCAGCAGACATCCATATGAACAAAACTGTTGCCTACCCATGCCTGTTCACTATCGAAATGAGTTTGGTGGGTCCTAGTCCAATCCCCAATAGACAAGCACCCACATCACAAACACCACCACCCCAAAAGGTGATAATCAGCATGTCATCTTCCAAGTCCTAGCTGTACATTCACTAGTCCTTACAGCCCTGCATATGACAGGCAAGTATCAGCAGCACTATTACTGGGGAAAAAAACCAGGCATGGAAAGGTTAAGTGATTTGCTCAGGTCCACCCCATCCATCAGTATCTGAGGTAGGACTAGAACTTGGAAGTTCTTGATTCCTGACCCTATGCTCAGAGGGCATCCCTAACTGACCCCTCTGTTGCCAGTCTCGGCAAAGGACTGACTGGGCTCTGGAGCCCAAACTTTATTTTCACAGTCAGGGTGGCCCTTTATGGGAAGAGCTGTGGCATGACAGTGAGGGACTTTGATTGAGTTTGCACTGCAGCTGCCCCAGCTGTGGCTAGATGGCTTTCAGCCTCTAGGGCTGCTGAGTCAACTTCACCAGGGCTAAAAACCAATTAAACACAAACACACTTTTCTATTTTTCTGTATGTTCCAAGCTGGACTGCAAGAAACGTCTCTTTCTGTGGGTATGTCTACACTACAAAGTTAGTTCGAACTAACTTTCCTAGGCGCTACACTAGCGCTCCGTTAGTTCGAACTTAATTCGAACTAACGGAGCGCTTAGTTCGAACTACGTAATCCTCATTTTATGAGGATTAAGCCTAGTTCGAACTAGCTAGTTCGAATTAAGGGCTGTGTAGACCCTTAATTCGAACTAGTGGGAGGCTAAGGCTTCCCAGGTTTCCCTGGTGGCCACTCTGGCCAACACCAGGGAAACTCGGCCAACCCCAGGCAAACTCTATTGCCCCCCTCCCGGCCCCGGAGCCCTTAAAGGGCCACAGGCTGGCTACACAGTTTGTGCCAGTTGCAAGTCTGCCAGCACCCAGCCAGCAGACCCTGCAGCTGCCACAACATGACCCAGCCACCCGAGGACACCCAGCCCTCCACTGCGCCCCGGGCCCAGCCTGGCAGCTCCCAGGAGCCTGCCCGGGGCCGCAAGAGGAGGGCGCCCGCTTGGTCAAGTGCGGAGATCGTGGACCTCATCGAGGTTTGGGGGGAAGTCTCCAATGTCCACGATCTCCGCACTAGCCACAGGAACGCGGCCGTCTACAGCCGCATGGCTGCCAGACCTGCA